AGTCGCAACTGACCACGCTGCTGCAGCTCACGAGCAAGAAAGTAGCGGAGAGCAATGTGCTTTGTTCTATGCTCCAGGCGCTGCTCCCGACACAAGGCTAGCATGGCCTTGTTGTCTACGTACAGCACCAGAGGAGAACGAGGCGGCTCTCCGAGGTCAGTCAGCAGGTAGGTAAGCCAGCGAAGCTCGTGTGCAGCCATGGCCCCAGCGTAGATCTCAGCCTCACAACTGGAGCCGAGAACAGAAGACGAGCGAGTAGCCCGCCACGAAACAGAGCCGGAACCAAGGCTGAAGGTGTAACCCTGTGACGACCGCTGCGTAGCCTGGTCGTCTGCCTAAGAAGCGTCCGCGTGCCCAATGAGGACCACTGGACTCCGCCCTCCAAGCACTAGCCCCATGCCCGACGTACTGCACAAGTAGCGCAACACCCTCTTCGCTGCAGCCATGTGCTCTGGTTTGTGTCTCCCAGGAGCAACATAGCGTGCAAGAATGCTAAGAGGGTATGCAAGGTCAGGTCGTGTGCAGGTCATCAGGTACATGAGGCAGCCAACAAGCTCTGGGTACGGGCCACTCGGCTCTACGGACTCATCCGAAGGCAGAGCTAAGAGCGAGTGGCGAGTAGACAGAGGAGTGGCCTGAGGCGAGAAGTACGTGAAGCCGAAGCGCTGAAGGACCTGCTGCACCATGTATGACTGAGTCAGGGTAATGGTGCGGCGTGCTCTGTCCCGGGTGATCTGCAAGCCAAGGTAGCTGCGCAGTTCACCCAGGTCTGTGCACGTGTGTCTCTTCTGCAGCTCGGACTTCACGTGGGCGAGTCCAGCAGTGTCAGCTGTGGCAAAGACCAAGTCGTCGACGTACACGAGGATGTAGAACGGCGGCTGAGAGGTGTCGGTGCGTAGAAACAACGACGGGTCAGCAGTAGAGGGAGCAAACCCAAGAGCCGCAAGTGTAGTCCTCAGTGTGTCGTGCCACTCGCGCGGTGCCTGACGGAGACCGTAGACTGGCCGTCGGAGGCTCCACTGGGTGCCAGGAGGGAAAGTCCCAGTGAAGCAAGGTGGACGGCGCAACCAGATCTCCTCGTGCAGGCTACCCTGCAGGAAAGCAGTGCTGAAGTCAAGGGAGTGAAGCTCGTAGTCACGCTGAGCGGCTATGTGTAGCAGCACCCGAAGAGTGGTCATCTTCGGGGTGGGAGAGAAGGTCTGAAAGTAGTCAACTCCCTATTGCTGACTGAAGCCACGAGCCACGTACCGCTCCTTGAAGACAGGTGGAGAGCCCGGCGGCCGCTTCACCCTGAAGATCCACATGCCACTGATGATGTTCGCCCCAGGAGGGGGAACCGTGTCAACGTAGGTGCTTGTGGACTTCCAGGAAGCCATCTCTGCATCCATAGCTGCCTGCCACTAAGAGGAGTAGGGACCCTCTACGGCCTCCGCGTAAGAGCGCGGAGTCGGGATGTCTAGTGCATCCGGGTCTCCCTCGGGGGTAAGTAGTACGGACGCGAGATGAGGTGAAGTAGTAGCCAGACACTGGAACTCCTCCTGCCTGTCCTGAAGGACGTCCGTGCCAAAAGCACACTCACCCTTGACGGACGGAGGACAGACAGACGCAGACTCAGCAACAAGACTAGCAGCGTAGTCTAGACGACAACGAGCAGCAAAGTCGACGAGCTCAGCAACAAGAGCAGACGTAGCAGTGGACTCAAAGGAGGGGTCAGTGACGATAGTAGCAAGGAGACGCGTGACAGTAGGACTGGCAGCACGAAGAGAGTCCGACTCACGGTCGGCAAGCGCAGGAAGAGAGGACTCAGGAGGAGAGGGCAAAGGGGCACGCAGAGGAGCAGTGGACGGACGCAGAGACATCCGGTGCGTGTCAACACCCTCAGCAGCTCCGACTTCAGTAGCACTCGCAGGACTAGTACCTCCGAGACCCGCGGCACCAGCACCCTCAGCAGCCGAAGAAGGACCAGCTCCAGTAGTACGCCTCCAGCGCCGGGCAAACCACTCGCGCAGCTCCTGTGGAGAGAGTGGCTCCCGCCGAGACGAAGAACCCGGAGAACCACCAGGCCCAGCACTGCCAGACGCCACACGAGCAGGTCCAGCGGCCGCGGGCTCCGCACCCCCAGGCTCAGTAGCTCCAGACTTAGCACCCCCAGGCTCAGCAGCTCCAGACGCAGCACCCCCAGGCGAAGCACCCCCAGGCTCAGCACCCCCAGGCTCAGCACCCCCAGTCGCAGCACCCCCAGACTAAGCACCCTCATGCTCAGCACCCACGCGCGCAGTACCCCAAGGGTCAGCACCCCCAAGCTCAGCACCCGCAGTAGTACCAGAGTCACCAGCAACCTTGACCGGCTCGACTGCATCTACGTGGGACACACCTGAAGGGGCAGGACCCTGAGGGGGGAGGGGGTCTACCGGGGGGGGGGCCTGGCACAAGGAAGTGCGGTGGCGGGGGGAGGGAAGGAGTGCGGTAGGGGAAGAGGCGGTAGTAGGAGACAGACTCGTCGAACGTGATGTCCTGGGAGGACAGAACACGACGAGAGGTGGGGTGGTAGAACTGCCACCCAGGGGCGTCAGGGGGGAAGCCAAGGAAGACACAGGGAGCAGCACGAGGGGACAGCTTGTCCGCAGACAAGTCATGGACAAACGCTCGAGATCCCCTAACACGGAACGCAGACGCATCGCCGACCTTCCCCGTCCACAGCAAGGCCTGGCAGGGTCTCCGGCCTGGAGACCCTGGGGTGAAGGTTGATCTGATGCGCCGCGTACCGAACCGCAAACGGCCACAGAAAACGGGGGGCAGCCGCATGCATCATGGACGTACGAGCGACGTCCATGACCATGCCAATGCGGCGCTCAGCAATCCCATTTTGCTGTGGAGAGTCCGGTAGCGTAAAGGTCTGGCGGATGCCTCGCGCACGACAGTAGGCTCGCAGAAGGCCAGAGGAGAACTCTCCGCCTCGGTCAGAGTGCAGACGCAGAACAGGAAAGTCCGAGCCGAAGCTCCTCGTCAGCTGAAGACGAGCTGGGCGAATCCAGTCGATCAACACCTTAGCGACATCACCCTTGCTGCGCAAGGGGAAGACTGAGGTGTAACGCGAGTAGTCGTCAACCACCAACAGGAAGTAGCGCTCGTGACCCTGTCCATAGACGCGGGCTGGGCCCCACACGTCCATGTGAAGCGTCTGTAGCGGGGCCTCTGTCGGGGGAAACTGAGAGGAGTGAGGGGCAGCCCTGAGCCGCCCCTCGACACAGGGGACACAGGAAGGACCAGGCCCCGGAGGAAGGGGAGGGAGGGACCGGGGAAGACCAGAGACAAGGACACGGGAAGCCATGCCTCGGAGACGAGGCAGGGAGGGGTGACCAAGACGGTGGTGCCAGAGGAGAGTCTCGTGAGACAGGAGGCGACACGAGCAGGGGGCAGACTTAGGACCAGACCTGGACGCTGCAGCAAACACCTGACCCGACGCAGCTACCTGACCAGACGAAGTGACTGGAAGAGACGCAGTGGTCAGTGTGTACAGGCTCGACCCCGGTCGACGTGTAAACGTGGCCAGGTGTCGGCCTGTCCGAGCGTCCGTGCAGTGGGTCACCCGCTGACTCGCAGGAGTGAACTGGTGAACCCCCGTATCCTGCAGGTCAGCACCGCTCACCAAGTTGATGGTGGGCCCTAGGCACAATTCCCAAGGGGGAACCTGCTCGATACCATGAGAAAAGTAGAACGAGAATGAATTGACTATGGAATGGAAGTGATACAAATATGCAACCCTAGAAGTGTGTACCCCATATGGGCTACCCCACTATAGCCTACAGAACATTATAGTTTTACAGACTGTTCAATAGGTAGGTAGGAATGATGAAACTATCGAGAGAGTTTGGTACAACAGAAAACCCTAAGGGGTTGTACCCTACATTGGCTACCCCACTACAGCCTAAATAATCAAGTATAACATATACAGTTTGAGAAAGACAACCGTACAAACAGGTATCATAGTTGTTGGAAACAATTAATTAAACACTTCTTGTGTGTCGTAACACCGAACCACAAACGAGGCGAACAACAGAGGAACAACGGCAAGTCAACCATCGGAGGTTGACCAGAATAGCAATTACAGGAGATTATGCGAAGGTCAAAGGTTAGTGACCTTTGACTTGACAAGTACAGCGCGACAGCAAGGACAAACAACTGACTCGTTATTGCGCAATTGTCAAACTCATATGCTATAGTCTGTGTAGGCTGTAGTGGGGTAGACAATATGTGGTACAACACTTCTAAGTTTTCCTACTTGTACCCACCTGCTTGCAAGTTCATTCATTCCTCATTTCTTTACATGGTATAGAGCAGGTTCCCTAGTGGGAACGCTTCCTTGACCCCACCACTAATTCTTTTTTTTCTGACCGGAGCGACAGTCGCTCCTGCCCGAGGCGCGCCTTGTGGGCTGCCCTTCTGTCTGTCAGAATATATTTGCTGTCTAGCCTGCAGTGGGGTACTCTGTAATGAGTACAACCCAATTTAGGGCAATGTACTTGTATCCCAACTCTTGCTAGTCACTTCACTTCCCTTCCAATTTCTCGACTCTCACCTAACCCACTCGAACTTACCTATCTCCTAGTGTGGGCCTAGGCTACTAAGCCTAGGCCCCACACCTAATATTTTCACATGTTATCAGAGCCCGTTCTACCTTGGCCTGTGGGCCCCTATGCTTCCGCTGCAGTCCTTCTTCCTGCCGCGCGCGGAGCGCGCGGGGATTTTTTTTTAGGATTTCGGAGTTTTTCATCCCGCCGTGCGCTCGGGGCGCGCGGCGGTTTTCCCGTCCTTCGAAGCGCCCTCGGGGGGCCTGCGCGCTGCCCTCCCCGCTGCTCGTCGCGACGCCCGTGCGGGACCCGCGCGGCGTCACCCTGCTCGTCGCGACGTCCGTGCGGGACCCGCGGGGCGTCGCCCCTGCTCGTCGCGACGTCCGTGCGGGACCCGCGGGGCGTCGCCCCTGCTCGTCGCGACGCCCCATGCGGGACCCGCGGGGCGCCGTCAGTTCCTGCAGCAGCAGCCGCCGCCGCCCTGCAGCAGCAGCCGCCGCCAGGCCTACAGCAGCAGCCGCCGCCAGGGTCTGCAGCAGCAGCCGCCGCCAGAGCCTGCTGCAGCAGCCGCCGCCAGGGTCTTCAGCAGCAGCCGCCGCTAGGGTCTGCAGCAGCAGCCGCCGCCAGAGCCTGCAGCAGCAGCCGCCGCCAGAGCCTGCAGCAGCAGCCGCCGCCAGAGTCTACAGCAGCAGCCGCCGCCAGAGTCTGCAGCAGCAGCCGCCGCCAGACCTGCAGCAGCTGCCGCCACCGACCCAGCAGCAGCAGCCGTCGCTCTATCAGCAGCAGCAGCCGCCGCCGCTCTGCCGCAGCAGCTACCGCCGCCCAGCTGCAGGTGCCGCCCCTGGACCCCAGAAGCCGCCCCTGGACCCGGTACGCCTTGTGCTGCCCGTGCCTGTGCTGCCCGTGCCTGTGCTGCCTGTGCCTGTTGCTGCCCGTGCCTGTTGCTGCCCGTGCCTGTGCTGCCCGTGCCTGTGCTGCCCGTGCCTGTGCTGCCCGTGCCTGTGCTGCCCGTGCCTGTGCTGCCCGTGCCTGTGCTGCCCGTGCCTGTTGCTGCCCGTGCCTGTGCTGCCCGTGCCTGTTGCTGCCCGTGCCTGTGCTGCCCGTGCCTGTGCTGCCCGTGCCTGTGCTGCCCGTGCCTGTGCTGCCCGTGCCTGTTGCTGCCCGTGCCTGTGCTGCCCGTGCCTGTGCTGCCCGTGCCTGTTGCTGCCCGTGCCTGTGCTGCCCGTGCCTGTGCTGCCCGTGCCTGTGCTGCCCGTGCCTGTGCTGCCTGTGCCTGTTGCTGCCCGTGCCTGTGCTGCCCGTGCCTGTGCTGCCCGTGCCTGTGCTGCCCGTGCCTGTTGCTGCCCGTGCCTGTGCTGCCCGTGCCTGTGCTGCCCGTGCCTGTGCTGCCCGTGCCTGTTGCTGCCCGTGCCTGTGCTGCCCGTGCCTGTGCTGCCCGTGCCTGTGCTGCCCGTGCCTGTGCTGCCTGTGCCTGTTGCTGCCCGTGCCTCTGCTGCCCGTGCCTGTGCTGCCCGTGCCTGTTGCTGCCCGTGCCTGTGCTGCCCGTGCCTGTTGCTGCCCGTGCCTGTGCTGCCCGTGCCTGTGCTGCCCGTGCCTGTGCTGCCCGTGCCCGTGCTGCCCGTGCCTGTTGCTGCCCGTGCCTGTGCTGCCCGTGCCTGTGCTGCCCGTGCCTGTGCTGCCCGTGCCTGTGCTGCCTGTGCCTGTTGCTGCCCGTGCCTGTGCTGCCCGTGCCTGTGCTGCCCGTGCCTGTGCTGCCCGTGCCTGTTGCTGCCCGTGTCTCGTGCTCGCGCCCCCGTGCGCTCTGCTACTGTCTGCGCCCTCGTGCGCACTGTCCCCCCCCCCCCCCCCCCCCCCCCCCCCCCCGTTTGCGGGTGTGGGGGTGCTCCGTTTGTGTCTCCCCTTCCTTCTCCTCCTCCGTCGTCTCCCACTGCTGCAGCTGTCGCTGAGGGGGGTGGTTGTGTGGGAGACTGGGGTTTAGGGTTTAAGGGGGGTGCGTGGGAGTGGAGCTAGGGGTGTAGCAGCGGGTGTGTGTCAGGGGGGTGGGACTGTTTGTGGGAGGTTGAGCGGAGGCTGCCGTCTTGTAGTCCGCAGCACCTGTAGTCCGGGGCGCTGTCCTGGTAGCCCAGTGAGCCTGCTGCGCCTGTCGCCCGTGGGTCCGTTGCTCCTGCCGCTCTTCGTAGCCGCCGAGCCAGTTACTCCAGTAGTCCGGGGCGCTGTCCCGGTAGCCACTGTGCCAGCCGCTCCTGTTGCCCGTGTGTCTGCAGCTTCAGCAGTCGCCTCCCATCTCCTCTCCTCTCACTCTCCCTCCTCCTCCTCACCTGCCCGTTGTGACCACCACTAGCTTTGCTGATAATTGTGCACTTTAACTATTGCTTCTTGAACTTGTGCTCAGAATGTGTGGTGACATTGTGATCCACCCTGAGCTTGTACTGCTTTGCCTGCTCTGCTGATTTCACCCCACTTTGGCTATGGGGGTGTGTCAGAATATATTTGCTGTCTAGCCTGCAGTGGGGTACTCTGTAATGAGTACAACCCAATTTAGGGCAATGTACTTGTATCCCAACTCTTGCTAGTCACTTCACTTCCCTTCCAATTTCTCGACTCTCACCTAACCCACTCGAACTTACCTATCTCCTAGTGTGGGCCTAGGCTACTAAGCCTAGGCCCCACACCTAATATTTTCACACTGTCGACCTCTCTTAGAGGCCCCTCTCACGGCCCCTCGCGCCACCCTCAGCGGCCCCGTCGCCGCCCCTAGCGGCCCCGTAGCCGCCCTTCCAGGCCCCTCGCGGCCCCTAGCGGCCCCGTCACCGCCCCTACGCGGCCCCGTCGCCGCCCCTAGCGGCCCTGTCGCCGCCCCTAGCGGCCCCGTTGTCGCCTCCCTACCTACGCGGCCCCGTTGCCGCCCCTACGCGGCCCCGTAGCCGCCCCTAGCGGCCCCGTAGCCGCCCCTACACGGCCCCGTCGCCGCCCCTAGCGGCCACGTAGCCGCTCCCCTCCCTACGCGGCCCCGTAGCCGCCCCTACGCGGCCCCGTCGCCGCCCCTAGCGGCCCCGTCGCCGCTAACCTCCCTACGCGGCCCCGTTGCCGCCCCTACGCGGCCCCGTCGCCGCCCCTACGCGGCCCCGTCGCCGCCCCTAGCGGCCCCGTAGCCGCTCCCCTCCCTACGCGGCCCCGTCGCCGCCCCTACGCGGCCCCGTCGCCGCCCCTAGCGGCCCCGTCGCCGCCCCTAGCGGCCCCGTCGCCGCCCCTAGAGTCCCGCTGCTTCGCGCGTCTGAGCGACACTTGGCGTACAGAGTTTGGCGACGACGCTGAGCTCCCCGACTGGGTGGAGATGCTTAGGCAGAGGGTAGATATCTTTGCTCTTAACTATGATGCTATTCTCACTGGAATGCATGCATTGTCTACTAGTGCCGAGGGAGTCTGTCACCTGTGTGTGCCGCCTGACTCCGGTATCCAGTCTGCTGCTCTAGGTGCTGGTGAGGCTGCTGCTCTAGGTGCTAGTGCGTCTGCTGCCCCAGGTGCTGGTGAGTCTGCTCTCTCAGGTACCACGTCGGCTCAAGCCTTACATACCTTCACCCTTGACTCGTGTGCTTCCCGCTCCTTCTTTCGAGACCACACAGCGCTAACGCCACTTAGTCGGCTGGTTGCGGTCTCCTTGGCGAACCCCTCTGGGGGTCCTGTCCTTGCCCACTTCTCCACTGTCTTACCGTGCCCGGCAGCCCCCTCTGGCACCCTGTCAGATCTCTACCTCCCCTCGTTCTCTACGAACTTGGTGAGTGGAGCTGATCTACAGGATAGGGGGGTTGACCAGTTCACTCCTACGAGTCAGCGGGTGACCCACTGCACGTGTGCTCGGACAGGTCGACACTTGGCCACGTTCACCCGTCGGCCGGGGTCGAGCCTGTACACACTTACTACTAAGTCTCTTCTGACTGCTGAGTCTGGTCGGGTAGCTGCGTCGAGTCAGGTGTTTGCTGCAGCGTCCACGTCTGGTCCTGAGTCTGCTCCCTGCTCGTGTCGTCTCCTGTCCCACCAGACTCTCCTTGAGCACCACCGCCTTGGTCACCCCTCCCTGCCTCGTCTCCAAGCCATGGCCTCCCGTGTCCTTGTCTCTGGTCTTCCGCGGTCTCTCCCTCCCCTACCTCCGGGGCCTGCCCCTACCTGCGTCCCCTGCGTCGAGGGGCGACAGCGCGCCGCCCCTCACTCCTCCGAGTTTCCTCCGACAGAGGCTCCGCTACAGACTCTTCACATGGACGTGTGGGGCCCCGCCCGCGTCCGTGGACACGGGTACGAGTGTTACTTCCTGTTGGTGGTTGACGACTACTCGCGTTACACCACAGTCTTCCCCTTGCGCAGCAAGGGTGACGTCACTGAGGTGTTGATCGACTGGATCCGCGCAGCTCGTCTCCAGCCCAGAGAGAGTTTCGGCTCGGACTTTCCTGTTCTGCGTCTGCACTCTGACAGAGGGGGGGAGTTTTCCTCTGCCCGTCTAGGAGCCTTCTGTCGTGCACAGGGCATCCGTCAGACCTTCAAGCTTCCGGCCTCTCCACAGCAAAATAGGATTGCTGAGCGCCGCATTCGCATGGTCATGGACGTCGCTCGTACGTCCATGATCCATGCGGCTGCCCCCCATTTTCTGTGGCCTTTTGCGGTTCAGTACGCAGCGCATCAGCTCAACCTTCAGCCCTGGGTCTCCTTGCCAGAGACCTCCCCCACCTTGCGGTGGACGGGGAAGGTTGGCGATGCGTCTGCGTTTCGGGTCTGGGGATCTCAGGCGTTTATCCGCGACTTGTCTGCGGACAAGCTGTCCCCCCGTGCTGTTCCCTGCGTCTTCCTTGGCTTCCCCCCTGACGCGCCTGGGTGGTAGTTTTACCACCCCACCTCGCGCCGTGTTCTGTCCTCCCAGGACGTCACCTTTGACGAGTCGGTGCCTTACTACCGTCTCTTCCCCTACCGCACTGCGCCCCTCCCCCCGCCGCCACTCTTCCTTGCGCGAGGTCCTCCCCAGGTAGACCCCCTCCCCCCTCAGGGTCCTGCCTCGTCAGGTGTGTCCCAGGTAGACGCAGTCAAGCCTGTCGAGGTAGCTGTTGACTCTGGTGCTGCTCGAGGTGCTGTGCCTGTGGGTGCCGGGTCTGGGGGTGCGGAGCCTGGGGGTGCTGAGTCCAGGGGTGCGGAGCCTGGGGGTGCTGAGTCTGGGGGTGCTGTGCCTGGGGGTGCTGGGTCTGCTCGTGTGACCTCTCGCGGTGCTTCGTCGAGGCGGGAGCCGCTCTCTCCGTAGGAGCTGCGCGAGTGGTTTGCCCGGCGCTGGAGCCGTGCTGCTAGAGCTGGAGGTACTACTGTTGCTGCTGGTCCCGGAGGTGCTCGTACTGGCGGTACTGGATCTGCTGGGACTGGGGGTGCTGCTGGAGGTACTGCTCGAGCTGCTGGCGGTACTGGAGCTGTCGGTCCTACTGGAGTTGGTGCTGCTGGAGCTGCTGGAGTTACTGGAGCTGGAGCTGCTGGGGGTGTCGGCGCTAGTGGTTCTTCTGGCGCTGGTGTGTCTGCTGGCGCAGGTGCGTCTGAGGGTGCTAGAGTTGGCGCTGTTGGCGCTGGCGGTGCTGCCGCTTGGGGTACTGGTGCTGTCCCTGCTGGTTCTGGAGGCGCTGCGCGGCCGCGGCCGTACTTCGTTCCGCTACTTGAGCAGGTTCTTGGTCTCCCGCCCTCTACTCGTCCTGCTCCTCACTTAGAGTGCCCACAGCCTGTCTAGTCGCAGTCACAGTTACAGCCCGCCTCCCCCCTGCCTGCTCTTTCTCCCTACACTGGTCCTACTGGAGGTCTTGCTGAGCGTTGTGAGCCTGCGTCTCGTCCTGCGTCGCCTGCTCGTGCTACTCGCACTAGTCGTCGTGCTCCGCGTCCGCGTCCTTCTGCGGTCCCAAGCACCCACCAGTTCGCACTGCGTCCGTCCACTGCTCCTCTGCGTGTCCCGTTGCCGTCTCCTCCAGAGTCCTCTTTTTCTGTCCTTGCTGACCTGGAGTCTGACTCTCTCCGTGCTGCCAGTCCTACTGTCAGGTGTCTCCTGGCTACTGTTGTCACTGAACCTTCCTTTGAGTCCACTGCTGCGTCTGCCATAGTTGCTGAGCTTGTCGACTTTGCTGCTCGCTGTCGTCTAGACTACGCAACTAGTCTCGTTGCTGAGTCTGCGTCTGTCTTTCCTCCGTCCGTCGGGGGTGAGTGTGCTCTTAGCAGGGACGTCCTTGAGGACAGGCAGGAGGAGTTCCAGTGTTTTGCTGCTGTTTTGCCTCATCTCGTGTCCACGCTGATTGCCCCTGAGGGAGACCCGGATGCACCAGACATCCCGACTCCTCGATCGTACGCTGAGGCGATCGAAGGTCCCTACTCCTCACCGTGACAGTCAGCCATGGATGCAGAGATGGCTTCCTGGAAGTCCACAGGCACCTACGTCGACGAGGTTCCCCCACCTGGGGCAAACATCGTTAGTGGCATGTGGATTTTCAGGGTGAAGCGGCCGCCGGGTTCTCCGCCTGTTTTTAAGGCGCGTTACTTGGCTCGAGGCTTCATTCAGCGGCAGGGAGTTGACTACTTTCAGACCTTCTCTCCCACCCCGAAGATGACCACTCTTCGGGTGCTGCTGCACATAGCCGCTCAGCGCGACTACGAGCTTCGCTCTCTTGACTTCAGCACAGCTTTCCTGCAGGGCAGCCTGCACGAGGAGATCTTGTTGCGCCGCCCTCCTGGCTTCACTGGGTCGTTTCCTCCTGGTACCCAGTGGAGCCTCCGGCGGCCAGTCTACAGTCTCCGCGAGGCGCCCCGTGAGTGGTACGACACACTGAGGACGACTCTTGCGGCTCTTGGGTTTGCTCTTACTGCCGACCCGTCGCTGTTTCTACGCACCGACACCTCTTTGCCGTCGTTCTACATCCTCGTCTACGTCGACGACTTGGTCTTTGCTACTGCTCACACTGCTGGACTCGCCCACGTGAAGTCCGAGCTGCAGAAGAGACACACGTGCACAGACCTGGGTGAACTGCGCAGCTACCTTGGCTTGCAGATCACCCAGGATAGAGCACAACGCACCATTACCGTGACTAAGTCACACATGGTGCAGCGGGTCCTTCAGCGCTTCGACTTCACGTACTCCTTGCCTCAGGCCACTCCTCTGTCTACTCGCCACTCGCTCTCAGCTTTGCCTTCGGATGAGTCCGTAGAGCCGAGTGGCCCGTACCCAGAGCTTGTTGGCTGCCTCATGTAGCTGATGACCTGCACACGACCTGACCTTGCATACCCTCTTAGCATCTTGGCACGTTATGTTGCTCCTGGGAGACACCGACCAGAGCACATGGCTGCAGCGAAGAGGGTGTTGCGTTACTTGTGCAGTACGTCGGGCATGGGGCTAGTGCTTGGAGGGCGACGTCGAGTGGTCCTCAGAGGTCACGCAGACGCTTCTTGGGCTAATGACCAGGCTACGCAGCGGCTGTCAAAGGGTTACACCTTCAGCCTTGGTTCCGGCTCTGTTTCGTGGCGGTCTACCCGCTCGTCTTCTGTTCTCGGCTCCAGCTGTGAGGCCGAGATCTACGCGGGGGCCATGGCTGCACAGGAGTTACGCTGGCTCACCTACCTGCTGACTGATCTAGGAGAGGCGCCTCGTTCTCCTCCAGTTCTGTACGTAGACAACAAGGCCATGCTGGCCTTGTGTCGGGAGCACAGACTGGAGCACAGAACGAAGCACATTGCTCTTCGCTACTTCCTTGCTCGTGAGCTGTAGCAGCGTGGTCAGCTGCGCCTTGCTTACGTGGCCTTTGAGGCCAACACTGCTGATATCTTTACCAAGGCACTTCCGCCTGGTGATCATCAGCGTTTCTGTACGATGCTAGGTCTTGTGCCTGCTTGGCCTCACTTGCTCACTTCTTGACCTTGCTTGTAC